CAGTATATATTACAGGACCTTAATATAAGATTCAGTTGATTAATTTAAGAAAACTAAAAAATTTATTGAATTATTTAAAACTGTTTATATTAGTAAATTCCTTATTTAATAATTCACATAAGTATTTAAGAGAGATCATGTAATATATGCTGTAATTAAATAATTTAGTAAATTTTTTTAATTTTCTCAAATTAACTTATTATATCTTATACTAAGAACCAAAATATTAATTATTTTAAATTAACCAATAAGGCAACAAGCATGAAGCTCGAGCAATGCTGGCTTAACCGATACCATTGAGAGAGGTTAACAGTTATTGGAGTCTTTTTTCTTGATTAATTTATTGTAGTCTTTTTTCATTCCACCTTGAAGTACATATTTTAAATATTGAATGGCTTTATACAAATATAACTGAAAAATTAGATTTTGATTCTAAAAACTCAATAAAATTATGGCAAAATTTGACGTTTAAATAGTGCATACAAATATTTTTACAAATTATCATGCCACTATACTAAAAGCAGGGCAAATCTATGTTACATATATAGTTGTATGGTTCCCAACTCGAACAAATATTTTTTCTTTTATTAATGGAAATGCAGATAATAATAGGTGAATAATGTACTGTGATAATTTCTTTTATAATTTAAATTATTTAATAGCTTTTTTTAATTATGTGTTTTTTTTAAGTGCACGTATATTTTCGAAATAAAAAAGGAGAAGGAAAGGCCCGGAAAAAGGGTGGATGGTAGTTAAACGGCCCAGAAAAGAAGGGAGAAAAGGCGGAGGACACGTGGAAAGCATCGCACTAGGGGGCTGGTTTCGTTTGGAATGACCCCTTCAGCTTCTCACCCCTCGAATTCACGTTAATTACCATTTTACCCTACCCTGTTTCCTGTCCCTTGCCATTTTTCAAATTGATTAATTGAATATAAGTGTAGTGATTTATTTTTCAAAATAATTAATAATTTATTTATATATTTTTGGCTGGAAAATAAGTTCACTCTTGAAATTTAACCCGGGTGCAATTCAATTGCTCAAAATTTAAACATTATTCTCATATTTTAATGACTCGATTATAACTTTGATCATGAAGGAATACATACTTCTTGAAATTATAATGACTAATGAATTAAACAGATAAAAATTGAATGAGTTAAATTTCAAGAACAAGGTTGTGATTGATTCAAAATTAAAGGAATAAATGACTAATTTTTATACTGGAAATTAGTTTTCCCCAACCTTTTCTAAATACAAACAACTGATATTTATTATTTTAAATTATTATACTGTTTTATAAATATAATTTCATATATGACGATGTTATTCTTAATAACTTAAAAGGTCGTTATTTATATATTCTAAAATTTCAAAAAATTGTCTATATAAATATAAAATTTTGAAAGGAAAAAAATTATTGTCACTCAAATGATGCCATGTTTCCTTAATGAAATAAGATATTAGCTGATAGCAATGTCTGGTTAAACTCAAAAAGGGGATAACAATTATTATTTGCGTAAATGAGTTTTCCCATTCAAAATTTCAAGTAGGTTTAATTTCATATTTTTAAAATTTGAAGATTCATCATTGCCGCAAAGCCTTACGGATTTCATCTAATTTTCTAAAATTTTAATTTAAATGTTTGTGATGACAAAGTTTTTGATCAAAATATAATAATTTATTTATAAATTTTGGACTACAAATTTATAATTTTTCAAGAATGATAAGTTCATTTCTCTATTTTTATTATCTCTTTAATTTTTAATAATTTAAATCATTTTAAAACTATTTTATTTCAGTATCCAGAAAAGTTTTAGCCATGTAGATAAGAAATGAAATGTCATTAATGCCCTTAAGTGTGAAAAAATTAACTTTCGAATATTTATCCGTAAACTTTGTTGTATCGAAAAAAATTTAATAATCTTTATTAGTAAGGATCTCAAAAATTATAATTATTTAAATGGACCAAATATTAAAATATAAAATTAAAAACACGGAATTGCCCTTCAGCCTACATTCTTTCCTCCGCCTTCCTCCATGTAGTTGCCATCTTCAGATGCAGAAAGATGGCTTTTCAAGTTTGATCGTCTTTTGCTGGCAGGTTTGTCTACAACGGAGAAACTATCAGAGAGAGTTGATTGGTTTGTGAGATTTTGAAAATGAAGGTCAGTTGCATGGATTGCACGACATTATCGTGCTCTATTACCAACCAATTCCTTAGATATATTATTAACTAGGAGGTCTCGTTTAATGATTTTATTGAGCGTTCTTTTCAGTCTTCTTCTGTTTTTTTTATAAGACTCCAAATTGTATCAAAATCAGGACTGCTTCAAGAAGTTAGAGCTGGTTTTGATGTTGCTTGTTAAGTCAATAAATCAGTTCCATCCTTTTCATCAATGTCTTCCCACAAGATACCATGTGTGTTTCACCAGGACGTTTAGGTGTTATCTGATTTATTTGCTAATCTTAGTACTGCGCAAGTAGATTTGTATTCTAAAGTTAATAACTAGACATCCACATACTGTGCGTTACGTTTTGTTTTTGTTTTTTACTGATAGAAGGTGGGCACAAATATGCACAGAGAAAGAGGGAGGGGAATCGTTTGCCACTAACCACGAAATATTTCAGTTGTGGTGGCAAGAAAAACTGTAGGAGCTCAGTTAGGGCTAGCCTGGTACTTTTATATTTTTATCTTAATATTTTGTCTTTTTAAATAATTGGAGTTTTTAGGATCCTTTAAAATAAATATTAATTTTTTTGGGTCATTCCCTCCAATTTTTTTCTTCTTTTTTTAATACATGCACACACTTTATTTTTTTTCTATAATTGCACGCAACACTACGAGAAAAGATAATTTATTACTTCGATTAGAATTGGAATATAATGCTTTGCTCATTTTTAACCTGTTTAATTAAGATACAGAAGTCAACGGATTACTTTTAAGAACTTTTCTTTTAACAGTATTTACTTTTCAATCCAAAAGTTAAATAATTAATATATATACACAAATACACACGATTTCCTTTTCATTTTCTTTCAAAGTAGTGTATATAATATTGTTCATGCTATACTCAAGTTGGACCTAACATTTAACTCAATGACTAGAATATTTTTATATTTAATTATTTGACATCCAATACAATTGTTGTTAATATGTTGGTCAAGCTGAACGGCACGTTTTGGTTTCAGATTTGTTGTCGTTCTTGTTGTCGTCCAGACCGAAAAGAAGGATTGAGATTTGTTGGTTGAGCTGAACGGCGTCATTGTGGTTTAAGATTGTTGTTCTTGTTGTCATCACGATCGAAGAAGGATTCGAAGCTTGAGATTTGTTGGTTTAGCTGAACAGCGTCGTTTTGGCCGGGGAGGAGGCACTGCTTCTTTTGAGGCGGTTCCAGGGGGACTAGAGCCAGAGGAGCTGGCAGAAAGCTGAGCTTGGCTTTGTCACAGCGGATGCGGTTGGCGGCTTGGTCGTAAGCTCTGGCGACTTCTTCGACGGTGTTGAAGATGCCGAGCCAAACTCGAACGCCCTTGTGTGCGTCCCTTATCTCGGCGGCCCGCTTGCCTCACGGCCTTTGTTGGATTCCTCCGTAAATGTTCTTGCGAGTCTTTCCACCTCCGCTTTTCTTCTCCGGCTTCTTGTCACTATTGTCATTTTTGTTATTATTCTTACAGGTCACTGCTTCAAGTTGGCCAAAAATGGGAACAAGGTTTATCTAATATGAGGTAACAAACAGAATCTTATCTTCAAAGCTGATCGCCATATATTTTCTAGAACAAACAAAAAAGTCTTAGAAACTGTATATCACGATGGAGGTCGAAAAGCCTGGTAAGCCAGTAATCGGGGACCATGAAATTGTGGGGTTTGTAATCAAAATTTAGCAAAATATCCTCAATCAAAAATAAAATCAAGCCATTGTCTGGATTTTAATCCATATTTAGTTTTTTTTTTAGCCGAAAGATTTATTATATGTATTTAATTTGGCCAAAAAATTCAATATATTTAATAAATAATAATAATTGAATAATTTAAGCACCCCAAGAAAAAATTTAACATTTTATTTTATATTTTTTTTGTTACTTCTTGTTTTCTTTGTTAAATGCAGTTTTTTTGGGGAAAAATCTTTTCAGCTTTGGAAAAATAACAGGCTCAACTGTCCAAAAAAATGGTGAATACTAAAAAAAAGAAGATTAACGTTAAGTTCAAAAAAGAAAGCGAAAATTAAAAATTAAAAATGAATTCTAAAAGGACGCAGGTTAGTGCTTTGATGATGGTGGCTGGGTATGGATTTTAACAAGCTATTATGGGCTTTATGCAAACCCACATACGTTATTGGACCGGGGAAAAGCCTTTAGGCATCTTATTGAAGAGGCCCAGGATATTAATTTTTCTTTGACCAGCCAGGATATTAATAAGCTAGGGAAAGGGCCGACAATAAATTATTATGAGGATGAGGTTGGGAATTATATATTCAAAAAAGCATGAAAAAAAATTATATTAAAAAATACTCTCAAAATTTTCCTTTCGTATAAATAAGAATGCTTAGCTTAATTTTTTAATATAACTAATTGTTTAAGACTAAGCAAAAAGAAATGACGGTGGACACACGAACAGATTTTGATATCCTGCAACTGTGGAAACTGGCAATAAAAAAGCATATAAATCCCAAGAAAAAATTCTCATAGAAATGTAATAAATAGAATAAAATATCCAGGGCACATTTGTTAAACACGGTGGGCACACTAATTGCAAATAACTCCTGTTCCACCCTGATTTGAAAATTACATTGCATATGAATTAAACATTCGGGGATGCATGCCAAAGAAACATAAAATCAAACCCCCTAATGTGTTGGCAGGAAAAACACCCTTAATGTTATGACTTGACTTGAGCCATGGGGTCACATATTATATTGAGAAATAAATACATAATAACGATTGACATAAACATACAGAGATGCATGCCAGATATGAGAAGCAAGTCAAGGTGAAACCAAATAACATGCTCAAGTGCACTCTGGAAAAGGAATTCATTAATTTTCTATCTACATAGTCTTAAAAAGACAATTAAAAATACATATCAAAGAGCATGACGAGGAAAAGAATATGTCATTACAAATGTAAAAAAAAGTTTGATTTACTAAGTATTAAATTCAAGTTAAATGAGATTCCACACACAAAAATAATATGATGGGCGACAATCATAAATACAATCCGTTCACTGAGAGATAAACTTTACTATCAACCCCAAAAATCATGGCTAAGGGGTGAAAAGATGTGACTATATATATAGAAATTGAAAAAAAAAAAAATGGAGTAGCCTAAAATAAAATGATTCTAGTCAGCCAGCTTTGTAAGCCGATGAATGGTACTTCTTGCAACCCTATTACCAGGATCAATCTTCAGAACACTCCTCAGGTCTTCCGCACCAAGCTTGTACTTTTCCATGCTCTCATACAAGAGAGCACGTTGCACCAATATAGATACATTTGTGTCATCATTTTCTAGTACCTGTACAGCATAACGCAAAGCAAACAACTCACCCTCCAAACAAATATGATAAGGATCATGACGTAATTCAATCCATCCATCTCAAAAGGACAATCACAATACAGTAGAATTTATGCATTAGCCATCCCTATTAAATTCAAGAACTAAACACGCATGCTACCAAGAGCTTCAAACAAAATGTTTACAAGTACATTCAATTAAGGTATGATAGTTTAGAATATGTCACCTTGTTTTCGTTTTCTTTCTCTAGTTTTAAGCCCTTATCAATATAATTAACTAAAAGCTTAAAACACTCTAGTAGTTTGGCCCAAGACAGAGGCATCTAGTTTAATTTGTCCAACAATTAATGCAGTCTCAACAACTATGACAATTATGTTCAATCTCTAATATGCACTAACCTCATCATCTATGGTTTGAATTTAAACCCAAAAAAAAAAAAAAAAAAGTAACTGTTTCAACATTCAAATCGTTAAGATATCAAAGTATACCTTTGTACAATCGGCCACTGCTTTTTTATACTCTCCAACTTCTTTGTAACATGAGGCTCTGCATGACAACACCTCTGCCATACCAGCATTATCCTCCGTTTTCTCAAGAAGGATGATGGCCCAAGATAACCACTTAATAGCGTCTGCAAACTGACCTTGCTTGTAATTGTCCATCCCTTTACCTTTTGCTGTAGAACCCGATAGCCCAGCAGGGGAGGTGGAAGCCCTTCAAGCTCAGTGGTTGTACCACCCACATCATGTCCTCCTCCACCAAATTCAGAATCCAAACCCAGTCATCAATTTCAGAAGATGAATTTCCTGCAAATGCTTCCGAAGTCGCAGTAGCACTTCCAGCCGTAGCTGAGGAGATGAGAATAAGATGTCTATAGGGTCACCACCAGCAGATGTCTGCACAGGGCTCTGATTCAAATTGGTAGATCCTGGAAAACTGAAATTCTCTGCAGCAGAACTACTTGATGGGAATGCGGTAGGGCCTGGTTTGGAGGCATTCTGGAAGTCTCCAAAACCATCATCCTCGGCTTTATTATTTTTTGTGGCCATTCCAGCTGAATTAAGACTACCAGATGGTTTTGATCCAAATCCAGCCAAAGAGCTGAATGGATCTCTATTAACATTCATTCCACTTCCAGCTGAACTACCACTATTCATATTTCGCATTGAAGGACCACCAAGATTTGGGCTCTTATTAGTGCCCATGCTAGTATTATTGTACCCGGAAGATCCCCAACTTCCACTACTTGCCGTCGTGTTACTGGTTTTAGGCAAAGCATCCGCCATATTTCCCATCGAAAAGGAGCTTTTGTTCGTTGTAGTACCTGATGCCTTAGAGGCAGGAATCGATTTTATGGGAGTATTATTGCTACTCTTAGAACTCTGTCCGATTGCAGAGCTCACCAAATCTCCAAAGAGATTAGGTTTTTATCAACAATTCCGATGGTCGAACTAGAACCCGACGGTTGTGTAGATCCCCA